ATAAAACAAATTAAGATAACTAAAATAGCCCAATCTCTTGTAGTTAATTTATCCAGATTAAATAATTTAAATATATAAAATAAGCAGCAGACTCTTTTATTTTTAATATAAATAATTAGTAAAGTTTCCTCATATTGCAACATGAATGCACCTTGAGTGCAGTCGTCTGTGGCGGTCCGCGCGCGGCGTCAGTCGAGTGCCGTGGAGCGGGCGATACCTATTACTTACATTACCCGTTCCGTCGGTACGCAAACCGACGTAACGATGATAGGCCGCCACCCGTTCCGATGACCGCTGTGTCCGGTAGACCACCACAGGTTGCGTTACGATTAGTTATTACACTTATTAGGAATAATACACACACATTTATATAAAAGTAAAAGTTTTATTGAGTACTCAATAGTAAAACATAAAATATAAGGGTTTCATCAGCTTTCGAGTGTGTGTTGGGAACAGTCTTACGTACAGTAAGAGTGTTAAGACCTAAAAAGCCCCGAGAGTTGGGAAACATTGCCTTTTTATAAACTAATGAAGAGTGGGTGTAGTATAACATTCCTGAGGTTATGGTCCACCACTTGGCTGACCAACCACTGGAAAGTTATGCAAGTTTGATACAGTATAGTCAAGTTATAATGATCTACAGTTAAGGCAAATAATAAATACATGCAGTTTTGCTGCAATATTTTCATTTAAAAAATTATAATTAATTTAATTACAATATAGTTTTATAGATAATTAAATTATCCCTGATCAATTAATATTTAATGAACATTGTTCGATTGTCTGCTTGTTTTCTATTGATATCGTAAATGCTATTTTAAATGACCTTTCACTAAATAATTTGAACAATTATTTCCTTTTATTATTTTACTATTGCTTAAAACTCTTAACCCCATAACCACTGCATCGGTAAATCATTAATGTAAAGTTTTAAATATACTGTATTTGATAATTATTTAAATACTAACTTAAAATAAAGTCCTTTAACCCCCACCCGGAGGGTGCAAACAGTCCGACATTAAATTATTAAACAAACTTCAATGTCAATCACGTAGTGCTTAGTTAATGGCAAATAACACAAACACTGTATTTATATATTTTTGTGTCTCATTTCTTATCTGATTAGAGGACGGGTATGCGTACTGTGTATGCAATATATACCTGTGCTGTATATATTGTATAGTTGAGGGACAGGTATTTTAATGGCTTGTAATGGATTAGTAGATATTATTTAAAGATATGAATTGAAAGTAAATTCACTTTTTGTGTTTTAAAATCTCTATTTATAGAAATAATTCAGATTTGATTTTAACATTTTATAATTGTTTTGGTTTTGAAAACGCGAGAGAGAGAGATAGAAAGAGAGAGAGAGAGAGATGCAAAACTATTATAAGAAAAATGTCAGGGATGTTTAATATTTAACACGAGTTAAAAACTCAATTAATAAATATACTTGCGATGTATATAAAAGCTTAATCAGTTAATTATAAAACACTATACATTTTGCACATTGAAATGCCACAATAAATAAATTGGTGATAAAATCTTGGTGTTTTTATAAAATTACTTTATAGCAAAATAAATGTTTGTTTATATTTTTGTGAGAAAAATACTTATGCAACTTATTTCACAAATATATCAAACATCTCACCATATAATGAAACCTGTTTATTATATCACTAAATAAATAATAATAATAATCAATAAAAACAAAAAAGTTTTCACTTTTCATTTCAGTCATAAGTGAAAATATTTTGAAAATTTAATTTTTATTTTCAATCAAAATATTTTGTGGCGACAAAAATATTTGACATTAAATATCGAAAAATACTTTCAATATTGCTTTGGAAAGGCAAACAATTTTTACTATAGTGTTTACCAAAAAGTAGTAATTTTAAAAACTAGATGCAAAATGTTGAACGTAATGCTAAATTCCCGGTCTAACCATGTATTAACGATAGCCACAAGTGTAATATGTGGGCTATTTATGCTAAATGTAATTGTATGTCAAAAATCACCCGAGTGCGAAAGGGAGGCCAAAAAGATTGATATAATCATTGAAGACATGTATCTGTTTGGGTCCGCACAGCGAGCCTTTCCCATGAATAACAAGGATATGAAAGAGTTTTGCAAGTAATTTATTATTCATATTTACTATTTTTACATAGTTTTAATTTTTAATTACAAATTTTTATAATTATAAATATTATTATGAAGATTATCTTATTTAATAATAATTGTTAATTAAAATTAAATACCCAAATATAGGAATCGCCAATAATTCATATGCAATTATTTATTCAAACATGTTTTAAAAAAGCTTAATATTAAGTTACAGTTTTATTTTGTGAAATACTAACCAAATTAAAAATCATTATTACATAGACTTAACTAAACCCTAAATTAATGCACTTAATGTGTACGTAATTAAATCACTATTAACTTGTTATTTTATAAATTAATATTAATTAAATTATTATCCATAGGATTAACAATGACTATCAGCTTGAAATCAAAAATTATTCGGAGAAATGTTTGGAAACACTGAGCAAACGTCTGATCAGTTTAATGATGTACAGCATATCGAAGAACAGCGGCGGCACCTGTAGGTCAAAGCGCCGGACAACAGAGTTTCTGACCAATGGTAAGTGCGGTAATGCCGCCCAACGCGACAATAGAAAGTGCTGGCACAAGTGGCTACACGAGCTTGATGGTATCAAAACAATAACCGAGTACAAACTTAAAGTGCCCTTATCGTGCTGGTAAGTGTTGAGCAGTATTAATTTATAATAATTAATTATAAAATATAACTTGTTAGTGTTATGTACGGTAAATTAAAAATTATTTGATTAAGCTAATTATTTTTACAAAATATTTATATTTTTAAAATATAAATATTAAATTTTTCAACTCTTTAATACTTAATCCATTAGCTATAATATCGTAATAAATATCTATTGACCATAGATCATTTAATTTATAGTTTACAGTTGCTGTTACAAAATAAAGTAGCTTAATTAAATTGTAAACTCATTTTAAAAGCATAAATAATATAAGTATTTTTTAATTTAGTAAAAATAATAAATAAAGAATAACCTAAGACCAATAATATCGCACTCGAGATGGTTGACCATAATTATTAGCCATTAAAAACTAATTAAGTGCTATTTAAAACAAATAAAACAAAATTAAAGTTTATAAATAGTTTAATCAAACGCATACTCTTACATTTTACATTGTACATTTACTTTGGGTCAGTGTAAATTATTACAACGAACAAATTAACACTATAATAAATTATTATTAATAATTATCAGTTATTTAAAATTAATTAAAATACTAATTTTTATAATGTTCATTTTGTTTTTGACGTAGCACGTTCTACAAAATGAGATCGTGTTTCGCGCGTACATACGATCAAAAGCGTAAGGAATGTACGAAAAAGTCTGCCGACGGGTTGGAGAAACTGCTGGACGTTTACGCGACCGAAACGCTGTCATTCCTGTGCGGCGACTATCGGGACGACAGCGACAAATGCGACAAAATTGTGCCCAAAATACCCAAAACTAAGAATAATGACAAAACCAATTCGCCCATCACCATTTTAATTAGCATATTGAATAGTGTCCCTGATGGCAGTGTTTAATTGATGTTTGTTTGCGTTGGTTAACGTTTGTTTTAATTAAATTAAGCATGTTTGTGTGTCTGATTGTATGTGGTAATTATGCCCTTTATTTTGAATGAACATGTAACATGTGATTGTGTGTGATCTATGTTGGTTTTAAAATATTATTTGTATGTTTGGGTTTTATAATTGACCTTGGCATTAATATTTTTGTTTGTTTATTGAATACTTGTTAAATTAAAAATGTAAAAATTGATTAATAAATAAAATTTTTTGATATTAAAATAGGATTAATTAAATGTTTATCTAGTACTATTTTCATACCCATGACATATCTAGTGTAAGTGTGATTTATTATAATTTAATATGATCATTATTGGTCCTAGTCTGTTCTTTATTTATTATTTTTACTAAATTAAAAAATATTTATATTATTTATGCTTTTAATATCAATTTAAAATTTAATCAACCTACTTTATTTNCGTCCCTATTATCAAAACTACACTGTACTTTTACATCTTATTCACCAAGTTTCTTAAACCCTGCATTTATTTTACTTTGATAAATTTTTAATTAATATACTTTTGCGAGAGAGAGAGAGAGAGAGAGAGAGAGAGAGAGAGTTATGTAATATATCCTTATGTAATATATAGTAAATAATTAACTAAAATTATAAAACATTTATATTTAAACATTGAATGCAATCACAAGTACGTGAAAAGAGGATTTAATTTTCACTTCAAAAATAAATAAAATAATGTATTGTCGAGTGAATGGGTCGTCACTTCACATTATATTACATACAATTGTTTGGAAATAAAGTTTTAATAATTTTTGTTTTTATTTTTAAGTTTGAATTTAACTTTCAATAAGATTTATAGTGTAATGACTTGAGTGACAGGTATATTGAGAGAGAGAGAGAGAGAGAGAGA